TCTCGATTACTTGGATGTGTCAAATAGAAGCTTTAAACAGTTAGACTTCTGGTTGTCTAATTCATTAGGTAATGAAATTAATTTGAATGGGGTTAATGTTAGTCTGAGTCTCCTTTTCGTAAAAAGTGATATTATTTAAATATATTCTATATAGAAATTTAATAGAAAATATATAGAATATATTATATGACAAGTATTGAGGTAGTAGATGTTAATAATGAAACTAAAACAGACGAAGCACCTATTAATAATGAGGTTGTTGAACAAAATGAAACAGTTAATGAAGAACCAACGCCAGAAGAACCAACTGAAGAACCAACAAAAGAAACCATAGACGAACCAAAAGCAAAAGCAAAAGCAAAAGCATTACCAAGAACAAAGAAAGAAATTGAAGTAGTCCAATGTGAAAAATGTGGTAAATCTATGAATGCTAAATCACTTCGTTTTTCACATCCTAAGAATTGTAAGGGTGTGCCTACTGAATTATTACCAGTCAATCCACAAAAGAATATTAGAAAGATTCAACCAGAATTGAAAGAAGAAATTAAGAATGAGATTAAGCAAGAAGTGATTAAAGAAACCATTAAGAAACCCACAGCAACAGAACTATTAAACCAACATTATGAAGAACTTAAACAAAAGAAAAAACAAGATAAACAAGAAAAAATAAACAAATTATCTTCATCAATGTTTTAAATAATAATCTAATTATATTATATATTAATCATGCTTATGAGAAGTCATAGAAATGTAGAATTTAAAAGGGCGCCACAAGTAGAACGTCATTATAATGTTTCAGATTTATGGGGAGTTGCTTCAAGAATGAATTATTTTAAACAGTTGAAGGACACACTGGAAGCGAGACAATCACAGGGAGCATTAATAAAGTATAGAAATGATTTAGCTGAAAGCAACAGAACCGAAAGTTACAGAAAGGAATTAGACAGAATAAGAAACATATTAGACAACACACGGTCACCAGACGGAATACAAACAAAGGAACAACTAACAGTAAGAAAGAAACATTTAGAAGAAATGATTAAGAATATCTCTGATTAATTTATTTTTCTAAATAATTAATATACTATGATTAAATCAATGAATAGATTGAATACAGTAGGACCGGTAAAAGTAGGGTCATTGAAATCACAATTACATTTGAGACCTTCTTATGATGAACTATTGAAAGAAACATTAGTAGGAGATGAGAACCGCCCATCAATTGAAAATGTAATAGACAGAAAAGCAACCAGATACAGATTAAATCAATACGGTAGTCAGTTTGATAATAAAGATGCTTTAGATATTCAGAAGAAACAAGAACTGAACAGAAGAGAAGAAGTTATGAAAGAAGCGTCGTCTGACGGTGGTAGTGTAAGAGCTAAACTTGATGATGAACTGAAACTTGCTGACACACTGAAACAACAGCAGTCTTTCATTAATGAAAGATTGGCGGAAACAAACAAACAGAAAGAAGAACTTGCTGAAAAAATGAGACTTTGGAGAGAACAACACGAAGAAATGGCAAGTGCTGTTTCAAAACAATCAATACCAGAAGGTGTAGAAATTCATTCAATGGTGTCCGCTGATGAAATTCCAGAATTAGAACCATTAGAGGAAGGGGAAGAAGAAGATGAACGTGAAGACGACCCTGTAGTTGAAGTAGAAGCATTGAAAAAAGGTAAGGATGATGACGATGACGCGCAAACAACCATTACTAATGCTGAGATAATGGAAATGCAAGAACAAGCAAACGAAATGGAATTACAAAATGTTGAAAATGAAGATGTTGATGATGAACGAATTTTCAAAAATTATTTAAGTGGTATAAAGTGGATGTGGCCGGTATATTTAGCAAAAAATCCAAGAAGTTTAATGGATAGTATAATTTCAAAACTACATCAATTCAATGTAATTAACGCTGTTAAATATGATGAGTTCAAAGAATTATTAGATGAATATAACAATACAACAGGAGTAGATAGAAACGCAGTGAAGGTTAAACTACAAAAATATTATGAGGACAATGTTTATAATAAATACTTCGTCCATAAAGCAACCCAACAATAAATCATCTATAATACTTAATATGACTGATAAATATTATGGATTAAGACGACGCCCTACATTTGATGAAATGCTGAAAGAAGCGATGACACACAGATTAAAAATTGAAATTATCCCTGAAAGACAGACATTTGACAAATCAATTAATAATATAGATTTTGATGATTTTGACCTTTCAAAATACGATAGGAGACTACGGTTGAATGCTAGGGTTCAAACTGATAAACAAGTTCTTCAACATGAATTGTTCCCTGATATGTTTGATGAAGTAGCACCAACATCACAGTTATATGAAAACAACGAGGCAGACGCACAAACAACACGATATGTAGCAAAATATTTTGCTGATGAAATTTATAGCAATGCAATTTCAGGACCAAACGATGAACCAAAAGATGAACCAATAGATTAACCAAAAGATGAAAAGCAGGAAGATTTACAAAGTCTTCATTTAACGTCATCATCGTCAGCATCAACCGTGAAAGAGGAAGAGAAGAAAGAGGAAAGCCGAGAAATAAAGTCATTAAGAAACATATTTTTAGGTGGAGAAGACAAGAGTGTGTTTGAATTATTCAAACGAGAAAAGAAGTCATCCTCACCGTCCATTCAATCCGAAGAACAAGAAGAACAACCAAGGGCATCATTCTGGACAAGACGACAGGTAGAAGCAAGAAGCAGAAGTCACTCACCAGAAGAAAGAGCAAGAGGCAGTCAATGGGGTATAAGACAAATGGAAACGAGAAGCAGAAGTCGGTCACCCGAAGAAATAGCAAGAGGTAGTGAATGGACGAGGGAACAAATGGAAACAAGAAGCAGGAGCAGAAGCCCAGAAAGTGCTGACACAAAAAGTAGCAGAGGCAAGAAGAAAAAATAAAACTACTTAAAGAAATGACCCCTTAATATATTAAGAAAAAAAATGAATAAGTGTATCAGAGAAGAATTGACAAAAGAAATTGTAAAATGCCGTGGTTGTAAGATATTCAACAACAAAGTCAAAAAAGCAAATGACATATTTCCTGACTGTATCATTGATAATATTTTGAGTTGTGTATGTTGTAAAAGATGCACCATTACAAAGCATTTAATGGAAAACGAACCTGACAATTTAAAAGAAATGGATAAGTGGATTTGGTATATGACGAGGTTAAATAAATGTCCGACGAAAAAGTCATTACATACAATATTTACAACTGATTTTGACAAAACATTAAAAGAGTATGGATACGATAATAGGTTAATCTTGTATTATGAAACCGCTACTCAATTTCATTATAATTTACTTTTTCATAATAATGACGGTTATGTATCTTGTAGAGATTTTAGCATTTCAATGTGTAGAGATTTTCTTAAAATGTTGAAATGGCAATATATAGAAAACAAAGACAAAGTCGTTTATAAAAAACAATTTTGATAATGAGTTTTACCATAAATTTGTCTGTCATTTGTTAGAAAAGAAAAGGTTGATTATAGACTGGTTTAATTATAGAGATAATGATGATAGTGATTAAGATTAAGTTTATTCATATTAACTTATAATATGATTAAACACTTGTATCCCCCAGAAAGCCGTAAAATGGTCTGAAACCTGAACCTTGAAAATGATGAAATCTTAGACTGTTATTAAATGAAACAATTGTACAAAATTGTTGAGAAAATTTAGGAAAATTCCCCACAATCAACCTTGGTGTTTTGAACAAAATGGTTTGCTTGTTTAATTTCATCCCTGAACCCTGAAACCCTGAACTGAAAATACCCTACCCTACACGCCCTAGCCAAAACTACTTAAAGAAATATTACCTTATATATTAAGAGGAAAATGAACGGTGATAAAATCAATAATTATATCAATAAAAAATGCTATGATTGTTGTCACTTCAAAAAAGAAAATATGAAATTGTATAAATTAAATTTACCTAATGAAATAGTGAATAATATTATTAATTATTCAATGGATGAAGAAGACGAATGTGAAAATTGTAGAAATTGGAGAGATAATCAATTTTTAATCAAATGTCTGTTGGGAATAAAAATAATACATAATAGAAATGTAGAAGATGAGATTTTAATATTTCTAACTGTAAATAAAATACCACCTTACGATTATGTTAAACAGTTTCTTAAAATCAGTAAGAACAAATATGACATGGTTTATGATATATTATGGATGTTGGGTTATAGTCAAGAGAAAGGAGAATATGTTAAAGAAAATATCAAATTATTTATTGAAAGTAAAAAGTTTAATGTTCAGAATACAGTGAGAGATGTTAATATTATTTTTAAAATGATGTATGAAATAAGTAAGATGTGTCAATTAAATTATTATCCTGTACTGAGATTATAAACATACTATAATAATAACATGTAAAATCTTATATGTTATAATTATAGCGAACTTTAGGGAACTTTTAGCCTAAAAGAAAATTAGTGAGTGTTATGTAAAAAATAGAATTCAGTCAGTTTATTTATATTATTATCTTATAATACGATTAAATTCTTCAATCCCCCAGAAAGCCTTAAAATTGTCTGAAACCCGAACCTTGAAAATGTCAATATCTTAGACTGTTATTAAATGAACAAAATGTAAAAAACAATGTTGAGAAAATTTAGGAAAATTCCCCACAATCCCCCTTGGTGTTTTGAACAAAATGGTTTGCTTGTTTAAAAGTAGTGTTGAACCCTGAAACCCTGAACTGAAAATACCCTACCCTACACGCCCCCTATTAACCATTTTTTCCCCCCCCCGCAACTTGCCACTGCAACTGCTTTTAGCACAACCTTGAAAAGTCCCCCACCGGATTCTCAGCAAAAGCTGGGACCCGGAACTACAAAAAAGGCAGACGAATTCACCTTACCCCTAGGTTAGTTGAGCTTGGGGATTACCCCCTGAAAAATGGCAAAGCGCCCCGTACCCAACCAAAACCCGACCGCCGCACCTTGGCTGCTGCGTATTGCAGGAAGATCATGTCCCCCGCCATGACCTGAGTCTCGCTGATGGCCTGGCCGCATTCGCCGAGATGAGAAGCAGCGCCGCAGCATTGGATGTTAGAACACGCCCCCATACGCCCCCGGCAATGCCACGGTTTTCCGGTTGCCGTGCGAATCTTTCAGCGACAAAACAGGGGTTGCCGGCAACCCCCCGAAAAGACCAAAAAGACATTGGGTGTAGTCAAAGGTACTTGCTCACGAGGGAGTGGCGCCATCTGCCTTCCTTCATTTACCCCCACACACTTCCAAACATCCTTTTGCAAAGGGAGACAAAAACAGGATTAAAGTGCCTGGAAAGCCGGATGGCCACCTTTTTGGCAGAAGCCGTATTTGGATCGTTTTTCCCGTCTTGGCCGAAGACCGAAAGTGCTCGACAAAATGTTGACCAACAGCCGCACCTGACCGTATGGCAATTTCTTGTGGCCCAAGCCGTATGGACAGGAACAAAAAAAAAACCAACACGTCACATACATGGGTTTCCAATCGGCTGTGGGTCAAACATAGGTACCCAAAATGGCTTGCCCTGGTAAATGGAAACATGGTTTCTAAGACCTGCGGTCCAGTGGTTGAATTGTGACCCACAGCCCTGGATTCATAAACCGGTCCCTTTTTTTAGGGGGGTGGTCCCTCCAAAAGTGGTCTGAATCCCCACTAAAAGGGGACACCCCAGGGGTTCTTCCCAATCGTTGTTCCCCACCAGGAACATCGCAAAAGCCGCACTGCGCCACATCATGTCAAGTCTGTCCGCCTATTCAAAGCCGATGGGAATGCCGATGGCCGATATGGGGATTCTAGCCCCATGTCTGGGCCGGACAAGCCAGCGGGTCTCGTGAAAATGAAAGGGATCAGTTTCGAGTGTCCAGAGTGACCCACCTTTTGGTTGAACATCCGAATCCCATTCCTTGGAGGCGATATTGAGTGAGGAGCCTAACAGAATGAATTCCCCGCCTATTCAATGATCTCACTCGCTTCCCGAGGATCTATGGGTTGCGAGAATTTGCACCAAAAGCGGATTTCAAAGTGGGGTTTGGACCCCAGGCTGAAACATCTTCATACTATGAGTCAGCATCAGACTCACCTGGGCTGAATTCATTCCGACGCCAGGACGTCCGGAATCGTTTTTTCAGGGTTTTTTCTCAGGTTCTGGGGTATCTTTTGCTGGACGTCCCGTATCATTCGAGAAACAACAAAAGCAACATCTGCATGAAACACTCCAGATAAACCACGTTGACATTTCATGAGGCTGATTCGCATATTTCTCACCGCCTAACTCAGCTTCATGCGGTGCACAACGAACGGCTTCGTTTAGACGCTCCGCGATCCCTTCATTTGCTTTTTCGCTCCCTGGGAAAAAGGACTAAACATCTCCTGTAGTGAAATCGATTTCTTTAAAACCACCAGGGGAAAATAATGAGAACAAACCTTCGCAAATGGAAGGTCCGGCTTTTCTTTGGGGAACCCCCCCTTTGGTGGTTAAAAAGGGGAGCCAACCGGAAAACCGCCAACTTGCAAATGGAAGTCTCCTTTGATGCTGTTGACGCCTCTGCAAAAAGTTTAACTTGTTGATCGGTTTTATGGAAAACCCAACTAGAAATCCCCAAAAGTTCAAGTCTAAAGTGCCAATAGCCAACTGGCAACTGGAAGTTTTTCCCCAAACAAGGGGTGAGAAAGAGTACTGGGGGACCTAGTTGAATACCTTCGGGTTTTACTGCCACCCAAGACCCAAGAGAATCCTCAGGAGCAAACCAACTTGCAGTCACCAGTTGTTTTGGGAAGAAACAGGAAAACCGGCCGGCAAATTTTTGAAGTCTCCTGCCTGATTGCAGAGCTGCACCTCCATGCCGTGGTCCTCCTGTCCGATCTTATCAAAGAGGGCGTGGCGGCAGAGGTACATGCTGCCTGAGCGAGGGGACACCCGCAAGGAACCCGAAGCCATTTTAAAGTGTCCCCTAACAAAAAGACAGACCCGAATCATACACTAGGTCCTCCAGTTTGCGGTCAGAATAAGGGTGCCCGAGGTGTTTTTTTCTGTAGTCTATTTTAGTAGGGGAACCGAATCTCCCAACCAAAAAAGTGGGTAAAAGTGGTCACCTATAGGCTAGCTGGGGCACCTAGGAGGTCTGCTTGCTGGTGCAAGAGATGCGGGGAATGAGAAATGGAATGACCCCGAGCAAAACCATCCCACTGCTTAATCCCCAGGCTCACTCCCTCATTCTCTACTGAGCAGAAGCAAGTCATTGAAAGCAACGAGTATTTTCCCTGCAGGGTGGTGAAAAAAACGTCCATTCCCAAGAGGGAATGGACCATGCAATGCCAGGCAATTCTATTTTAGTCGTTGGCTGAGTCTTCTGAATCGATCCTCCACAACGTTTCAGACACCCCACGAAGAAACGCCCGACCAAAACGGAACGTGGGGAACAAAAAGCACGTGGAGCGTTTCGGGATCCA